CATTTTGCGACTCGCGTACGTTTGGGTCTGCATTCCAGGCCTCACATGCCCCATCACCAAACAACCGCTTTCTCCGCCCAACAACTCTCTCAAATACATCACTTTCTCTTCCTTTTGTTTAACGACATTACTTATCAAGTTAATCTTTCCGCTACCGACTTTGGTTTCTCAACTTAATTTTTAAGACAATAAACTGTGTAAGCTTACCCCTATTGTTTTTTGCTTGCCCTTTTCTGCTACTGTATGAGGTGTCAGTATTACATGCATTCGTCTGCCTTCCTTATTTTACCTAATGTGGTCTTTCGAAGGACATAGTCTAACATTAAACTGTAGCTCATTACAAAGGCAGTTAGTTTTTGTCTCGAGAACTGTTCTCCTTTCAGGCAGCGATTGCTGGTGTCCCTTGACCTACGGCTTTTGGCAAGCAGGACGTGTCTATCGCTCGACTGAGCGTTCTGAATCGGTCGCCTCATAAGCATGCTAGGCTAGGCGATCTGCTTACCGTCTGAAGGTCTGACCGTAACTACCCGAGGGAACTAGTTGCCTAATTAGTACTTATGAGTCTTATAGACACTGCCATCAAGTTATTTTGTCTTGGTGGCTAAGGTGTTAGTGGCAACCGCCATTGTTTTGAGAGATGACATTGCGCGTTTGTTTGTAGAACTCCCATCTGTCATTAGTCGAATGTAATTTGCATCAACGCGATAGCCATGTTTGCCCCAGGTACGTCTAAATCTGATCGTAAGGACGCAGGAAACAATCGGAGAGTTTATAGAGACGAGTCCTGTTTAGCGCATCGCGAGCAGGAAAGTGAGTAGGTTTGAGGGTAAATTATAATCGTCCGAACGTTTAAGAGGCTATGCGGCACTCACATAGGACAGGTAAGTTGACATGCCTATCGGCGGCTATCTGAGCGGCCGAAGAGGCAAGGTGCCGTCTTATGGAGCGCGTTGGACGCTGCCGTCTATATGTGCATACAGGGATCCCCGACTCTTGGGTGTGGACGCGTTTATGCCCTACAGAAACTATTTGAACTGACAGTGTGTC